TAGCGGAAATTTTGAGTAGTTCAGAGAACCGGCAAATACCACTTCTGGCTGGCTCCAGAGTGGGGTGTGAATGGAGATTTTGCAGTATCCTTCCCCTGCCATGCCCACCAAGCCACACCCACAGAACCGGTAGTAAAAAAAAATGAATTTCTGGAACTGGATTACATTCAGGATAAATTCTCGGATTTCAGGCTAATAATCATACCTAAGATAAATAAACTGCCCAGAGTCATATAAATTCAACAATTTATTATTACCAAAATTAACAGACTTTTCAGCCCACATTTTCACTTAGGAACATATATAGGTAAGAAAGTATATAGTACCTTACAGGTCTATTGGACATAGGACTATTTCTCTCCCTGGTTCAGAACTCTCTCTTAGATCTGGCCCCAGGGATTCTGTGTCTGTCTTGTTAGGGGACCTACTTAGCTAAAGAAGACAGAATTGGCTGTGGCCTCTTTTAAAAACAAAGCATGCACTCTCCCTTTGACCAATAGAATGTAATATAGGATTTTAAATTACCCAGTTACTTTCCATCACAACTCTGCCATTTCAGCTGAACAATAAAAGCAGACAAACAGAAACCACAGCAAGTTGTGCGTCAAGAATATGTTAAATAAATCCTACCTAGGACAAAAGACAGAGGGATGAGGTCAGTGGAGCTCTTGCAATATTTAGCTACCTTTTCAAAGAGACGTTTCTGATATTCATTGAGAAGGTACCTGGAGATAGAGAGAGCAAAAGATAAAATAATACCAACCTGAGACTGCATCATACTAAATATTCTTCTTTAAACTAACAAGAGTTGAGGTTCTTTTGCCTATCTCTGCCAAAGCAAGTTCTCTCTTGGTCTACTTGGGTAATAATCTGTGGAGATGTAGCTCCACTGTACTTTGTAAACTGTAGTTCATGACTTAGCATCATACCACATTATTGTATGTACCTGGAGTATGGACTTGGAGTCTGGCAGCAACTACCTTGGCCTTTTTAATTATTTTAAAAATTCTTTTCTTTTCCTCATGAGACTGGTGAGGCCCCGCCTCCCCTGCCTCCCCTGACTGCACGTCCCTGGATGAGTCCATGGAACACCATTCCCCATTCAATAGTGTTGAACACTCTCTTAATATTTTACTATACTTTATCTGCAATGAATTATGACCTCTAGTTCAGGTTCTACTCACATCAAAATGATCAGATAGATCTTTAATTATTGCTTTGGGAAAGTGAAAACTACTGTATATACTCAAGTATAAGCCTAGTTTTTCAGCCCACTTTTTGAGCTGAAAAAAGCCGCCTCGGCTTATA